CCTCATTATTTCCGGTACACTCAGGGATCTTACTCATCCACAGCCAATTCCTGCATTGACGTCGCTTTGCCGGGCATTAGGAACATTCAGCCACACAATGATTTTCTCCACATAATTCAAATGTTTTTTAATGCCACGCCTTCTGACATCTCTCCTATCATATCGGGTATCACAGGGTGCGGAGAAGCCATGAGTCAGCCGTCCATAGCAGAGCCCCACGGAATTCACAGTGGAAGAAAGGTCAGCCACTCTTCAGGCCTTGGAGTGGTGTGGCAGAGACTCACTTAAACATACCCCGGGGCTGCCACGCCCTGACGATCACCTCGCACTTGGTCCGGAACTGAACTTCCGTGGGGAACACACGGCCGGGCTGGAGGAGGTATCTGGCCCAGAGCGGGAAGTGGCGACAGGGCCTTCAGACTCCGCCCGAGCCGCTGACAGAGCGTGAGGAAGACCGCGGACCCCACGCCCCCTCACACTGACAGCTGTGACGTCAGCACGCCACGGCCGTGCGTGCGTGGGATGCGCCCGAGCGGCCTCCGTGCTGACGCCAGAGGCCTCTGTGCACACAGCAGCAAGGCCAGTTGGAATGTGGTTCCGCCCTCAAGGCTGTCGGTCCAAATAGAGAGAGAGTGTCTTGTTTGTGGTGTGCATAAAGTAGCTACGGCAACTGCGGGCCCGGGCGACACCTGTTCCTGACTGCCGGGCCCAGCACGGAGAGTAGGCATGGGGAGACAGCGAGGTCTGGAGTGACCAGCACACCCTGAAAATGAGAGGTTTTGGAATACTTGCCCCCTGGAATGAGAACTCTTTGTTTTGAAAACGTGACCTCTAACCGCGGAAAGCTCGATAAATTCGATCCAGTTTAACTCAGTAAATGACTACATGCACGGTTCCATGTTAAATACAGTACAGAAAAATCCTGGCTGCCCCCAAAACCTAGTGATCAGAGCATATTTTCCCTAATGTCCCTATAGGATAGTCTGTAAGTTTCCATTTCCAATCAGAGAATATTAATTGCCTATTAAGAAATCTGGGGGTGGAAATAGTAGACAACTGAAAGATTTGTAAGATTTGTCTCTCAGTAACACTCAGGCTTATGGATGATTTATTAAAGCCCCATAATTGCTTTAAAAGATGTGTCTCATGGTGGAAATTGCTACTAGACAGTAAGTTTCAGGTATTCCTGAGACCATCACTTTTACTGTCCAAACTGATTTAAAAAAATAGTAATTTAAAAACTCTTATCCAATGGAATACCTTGTTGTGTTCTTAGGAAATGAATGGCCATACACAAACAGTAAATAATTGGTCTGTGAAAGAAATTAAGTCAGACATGAAGTTTTCTTATAACTGTCTAGTTGAGTGGCTTTCAGGACCGTACCCCTGGAACACACTGGCTCCTCCCTTTTGCATGAAGGCCTGAGCCAAGAGGACCTCAGCCCCATACCCAATGCAGCCAGAGACCCACTGAAGAGGGAAAACCCACTGAATGGGTTTGAATCAGATGCTTCACCTTTCTTCAGAGTCCTCAGCCAAATTAATTCTTTAGATACGCAATTTTCTCAAACAAATTATAAAATGGAAAAAAAAAAATGACCAACAATTTTTTCAAGAGCACTGCATACACACAAACACACAATTCTCTAATAAGACAAAACTCAGGATCACAATATCTCTGAGTTTAAAACAATCATGTTGCCCATAATGTAAGTACTGGACTACTGCTAGTACATATTCCCTTTATGGAGAAAGGTTTAAAAAGATGGAAAAGCAAAGAAGAAGAAAGAAAGGTTTTAGTAGAAAGAAAAGGTTTTACATTTTAGTAGAGAGAGATTATTTCTGGGAAGATCATGGGAAAATATACACCATAACTAGACCTTTGAATGAAGTGAGACTAGAGTGTGATGTGTGTGAGAAAATATATTTGGTGAAGAAGAAGCTCAGTTTTAAGGCACATAAGGGATTCCAGTTCAGTTCAGTTGCTCAGTCATGTCTGACTCTTTGCGACCCCATGGACTGCAGCATAAGCCAGGCTTCCCTGTACACCACCAACTCCCTGAGCCTGCTCAAACTCATGTCCATTGAATCAGTGATGCCATCCAACCATCTCATCCTCTGTTGTCCCCTTCTCTTCCCGCCTTCAATCTTTCCCAGCATCAGGGTCTTTTCCAATGAGTCAGTTCTTCGCATCAGATGGCCAAAGTACTGGAGTTTCAACTTCAGCATCAGTCCTTCCAATGAATATTCAGGACTGATTTCCTTTAGGATGGACTGGTTGGATCTTCTTGCAATCCAAGGGACTCTCAAGAGTCTTCTCCAGTCAAAAAGCATTAATTCTTCAGTGCTCAGCTTTCTTTATAGTCCAACTTTCACATCCATACATGACTACTGGAAAAACCATAGCTTTGAATATACAGACCTCTGTCAGCAAAGAAATGTCTCCACTTTTTAATATGCTGTCTAGGTTGGTCATAGCCTTTTTTCCTTTCTTCCAATCTTTTAATTTCATGGCTGCAGTCACCATCTGCAGTGATTTTGGAGCCCAAGAAAATAAAGTCTCTCACTGTTTCCATTGTTTCCCCATCTATTTCCCATGAAGTAATGGGACCAGATGCCATGATCTTAGTTTTTTGAATGTTGAGTTTTAAGCCAACTTTTTCACTCTCCTCTTTCACTTTCAACAAGAGGCTCTTTAGTTCTTCTTCACTTTCAGCCATAATGGTGGTGTCATATACATATCTGAGGTTATTGATATTTCTCCCAGCAATCTTGATTCCAGTTTGTGCTTCATCCACCCCAGCATTTCACATAACACACTCTGCATATAAATTAAATAAGCAGGGTGACAATATACAGCCTTGACGTACTTCTTTCCCAATTTGCAACCAGTCTGTTGTTCCATGTCTGGTTCTATCTGCTTCTTCTTGACCTGCATACAGATTTCTCAGAAGGCAGGTAAAGTGGTCTGGTATTCCCACCTCTTGAAGAATTTTCCACAGTTTGTTGTGATCCACACAGTCAAAGGCTTTGGCATAATCAATAAAGCAGAAGTAGACGTTTTTCTGGAGTTTGCTTGCTTTTATGATGATTCAATGGATGTTGGCAATTTGATCTCTGGTTCTTCTGCCTTTTCTAAATCCAGCTTGAACATCTGGAAGTTCATGGTTCACGCACTGTAGAAGTCTGGCTTGGAGAACTTTGAGCATTACTTTACTAGTATGTGGGATGAGTGCAATTGTGTGGTAGTTGGAACATTCTTTGGCATTGCCCTTCTTTGGGATTGCAATGAAAACTGACCTTTTCCAGTCCTGTAGCCACTGCTAAGTTTTCCAAATTTGCTGGCATATTGAGTGTAGCACTTTCACAGCATCAGCTTTTAGGATTTGAATAGGGATTTGGTCTAATGGAATTATGAAGTGTAGATAGATTATCAGTCATGAGATCTAAGTCAAAGAAGCCAAACACAGTGTGATTCCACAGATATGAAATGTCTAGAAGAGGAAACTCACAGGGACAGATAATGGACTGGTGGTTTCCAGAGCTGGAGGGGACAGAAGGGGAGGGGAGGATGAGGTTTCTTTGTAATACGATAAGAAAAAAGAATATTCTGGACTCAGATAGGGCTGATCTTTGTCCAGCTCTGGAAATGTACTCAAAACACTGCATGACACATTTCAAAATGATACATTTTGTGGTATGTGAACTATATTTCAAATATTTAAAGTTATTTTTAAATTCATGAGCTCAGATGTGTAAATCTGGGTCCTTGATAAAGACTCCCTGAAGACTAAGTGAAGAGAACAGTTGAAATAAGAAATGAAAAGAAAGACAGAATAGGTTAGATAGGGCCCCTGTCCCCAGGGTGGGCTTTGGTTTCGTTTGCTGTTGTTGTTTTGTGGGGTTTTTAAGCTCTTTGAGCAGAGATCACTCTTCTTATTCCCTCTGCAAAATTAAGGATACTTTTTATACAAAAATAGTGCTTAAAGAAGCCATTTTGTTAACTGACCATTGGCTAAGTGATTCTGGGCAGCAACATGAGATATCTTTGCAGCAACTACAGAGGCCGCTGAGCCGCCAGCCTGTCCCGTCCTTCATGGTCACTACAGCCTCAGGTGAGGCACCAGGACCTTCTCATGCGACCCTGAAACATAGCAAAGGCAAGTCCAGTTGGGTCTTGTTAGTGCTCAGTCGTGTGCGACTCTGACCCTGTGGGCTGTAGCCCACCAGGCTGCTCTGTCCATGGGACTTCCCAGGCAACAATGGTGGAGTGGGTTGCCATTTCCTCCTCCACAGTTGGGTCTTAGGCCAAAGTTTGTCTAAATTCCTAGAATTCTTATGTTTACAAAAAGATATTGTGCTTATGTTTTCAGGTTAGTGCTTTGAATTTTAATTCCTGATGAAGAGAAAAAGTCTTAAAATTCAGAAAACTCACCTATTCAGTTATTTTTCTATTTGTACTATGATCATTTCAGTGGGACTTAGAAGGACTAGTTGGAAAGCTGACTAAAATAAGTGCAGGTTTTACAGAGAAGGTGCTTAGATAACGCATATGAACCACAATTATGAAAATGGAATGATGATGTTATAGAAAAAATTGATTTTCACCTGAGATAAATAAATCATGAGGGTTTGTAATATCATAATGGGCTAGCTTCTTAGGCACACACAAGAGGCTTCACATACATCCAGATGTTATAGACAGCCGTGTCGTGCCTCCTGTTTTACGGGTGGAAATTGAACAGGACAAGGGAGCTTCAAAGGCTCTTACGGCAGAGCTTTCCTGTCTATTGTCTTCATTCACAGAACGTGGGAACAATGAGCAAATGGAAAACACAAAGTCCCTGGAAAAGTGTGTGCCCCCTAGGCATCACTCAGGAAATACTGTGTGTGCATATTAACATATTACTAACTCCTAGAAGTCTCACCTCTGAAACCAGAACTGGAAAATACAAGACTCATTCCACGGCTAGAAATCACAGCCTTCACACTGGACGTACCTGCGGCGAGGTAGGCGCCTCCCCCGGCTTTGTAGAGAAGGTGGCTGGCGAAGGGAGCTGCGCAGATGATCAGAAAGCTTGCAGTCACCACGGCGACCACCCCCAGCAGCATCAGGACCGCCCAGAAGCCACGGTAAACTGCAGGTCCCAGGAGAAAAGGAGAAGAGTAAGGCACACTCAGACTGTGAACACGGCAGGCTGGCGCACAGAGACTTTCTCTCTTCTCCATGCTTCTAATTTCAGCCCCAGCACGCTGGGCAGCCTCCCAGGCTGTGGTCCTGAGTTATCTTTGAAACGAAGCCTCACCAGATGACTTTGGATTCAATGATGCCGAACTTCTACCAACACAAGCTTGGTATTTACACCACGCACAAGCTTAACATATTCCGGGAGCTCTTTTTCTGACCAGCTTATCCATTTAGAAATGGGAGCACTCAGAATTCTAGAAAGACTCCTCTTGAGCAAGTTCCCAGATGGGTCACACACAGGAGTTTATACCAAATGGACAAAGACATAAAAAGGCATTCACATCCACAAAACTGCCTCTTACTTCCTGCCAAGAAGATGTTTGTACCACAGCGATCCCTGAGAAGCTGCTAACAGTCCCTCCAGTTTCCTAACAAAAAAGTGGGCTTCTATTTAGGTTGTGACTCTATTGGAAAATAGTCTTAAGGTAATAAAAATGACAAGCAAAGCCAAACAAGAAAAGGTTTGTATAGACTGAGATTTAAAATAAGATATTTTTAAGACTTACTACTTTCTATGAATACTTGTTCTTAGATTTAAAATGAAAAGTTATAGTGGTCTCTTAGTCAAGGGTCAGTAAGTCTGAATTAATGGATGCAGCTGGTGATAAATAAATAGTGGATTTGGTGACATATAGTAATCGAATAAAAAGGAATTCTAATGATCATTTTTGAGTAGGATAATTACTGATCCACTAAACAAATTGATCATTTTCCAAAGGCTAAAACACAAAGACAAATTCCTACATGTGTAAATGATGAAAATCATAGCACAACATACTGGGGAAATTACACTTTTTTATGAAAATACAGAAACTTCATAAGAAAGTAAAGAATGATTTTTCTCGACAAGCCCACCTGGCAAAAAAAATATAGATATAGATATAGATATAGATATAGATAGATAAATCAACCAGAATCTTTCAGAGGAAAGAGGATGGGAAGGTGGAATATTGAGAAGAGCCACCGCAGTTAAACAGGAAAAGGAAGTTTGCATTTTGGTGTGAGTAACTGGGTTTTGAAGGCAAGAACACAAGGGCAGACTTTCACCTCACACGCCGATGTGCCTCGTGGGGCACGGCTGCTGGGCTGACTGTGTGAGGAGGGATTCTGTGGTTGTATTCCAGCTCCTCGGGGCACAGGGCAGGAAAGTACTGATCGACTTGACTGTGGGAAGTAAGAGGGAAGGCTTTGAGACAAACCTTTGCCTTCCCTGTCCGACCAGAGATACTAGATAACAGAGGAGCCTCACTGTTTACACTTTCATGCACCTCATTTACTGCACTATCATGAGGTGGTTCTGTGGCAAGCGGGGTGTAAATGTCAATAAGAGGTGGTCCAGGGAAAGTGGAGCATGACAAATTATAAAGCATAGTACCGTAGAGAAACACAGCTTTTGGAATCAGAATGCCCGGAGTATTCACCACTTACAGTTACTTAAACTTAGGTGTTTGTCACCTCACATCCTGCCCAGTGAGCTCAGGAAGTTAGTGACCCATAGGACATGTTCTGTACAACAAAAAAACAATAATTTGTGGACCTAGCTTGACCATGCAGAGACACGAATACTCGCCTGCTCAACCTGGAGGAGGAACTGATGATGGAAGCATGACATCTATTCAAGAAAAGCAAAAAAGCTCTTCTCCCCCTCCCCACTTCTTTGATTATGAAACTGTAGCCCAGTAAGTTCCAGGGTACTGCATTTCTCACTTGTCTGCTTATAAACCTCACAACTAACCTATTCTAAGAAATCACTTCTTATCTATCACTTTGCCTCTTGCTCAATTCTTTTCTGCTCTGAGACTGAGAGCTCTGGGTACCGGAGCTCTTTGGAGCCCGTAAAGTGACTCCTAACGATACCAGGGGGACTTCGAGAGAGAGAAGGACCCGGGGGGGATGAGCGCTGACCCTGAGGCCTGCTGCTTCCGGCCCTGGTTTACTCTAGCACAACCGCCCGACTTTGGAGTCTCAGGCCCTGCGAAAACGCAGGAGCAACAGACTGGTACTCCATGGAGGGGGTCCCGGCTTCCTGGAGAGTTGTGACCATACGGACACAGCTTTCACGAGAACTTCCTTACGGCAATCACCACAGGCTTTATTTCTGCCCGCGCTTCAGTGTTCCAAAGTGCGCAACTCTCAGCCTGTTTCATAATTTCTTGGAACTTCCTGTTTCTTAGCTAATTATATTACCTAGTTTGCATGTGTGGCACACTTCGATTCCAGAGTGGAAATGTTTGGTTGTAATGAAGAATCGTCTCGGAATTGGGTAGTTCCTCCACTGTCTGAAGTAAAACTGAGGCAATCTGAGTATTTTCAACATGAAGTGAATTACGTTGCATGTGTTTTGAGATATTGCTAACTGTGTGACTCTGATAGAACACAGTTTTCTAAACCAGAGAGCACTGTCCTTCAAATAAGTTTATAGGAAGGGTTGAAAACATACATGACAAGTAGTTACATGAAGTAAAAAAATCAAAAATATTTGTTACTACTATTATTTTTACATGCTTTGTAATAAAATGCTCTTGTCAACAATGTAGTTAATACTTAAAAGATATCTATTAATCTCATGGATCTAGGATAGGGCAAGCTTTTAGTTCTAGTACATAGACACTAAAAAGTTTAAAGAATGTTCTTGTTTGGTTAGTGATTTATATACTGTTTAAGACTTCTAGATATTGAATGTATCTCTGAGAATACTCAATCTGTTTGCTTGTTCTTAATATGAGCCCATAAAAACTGCAAGTTCTGTCTCTGAAATCTTTGAACTGCCAAGTGAAAACATCTCTAAAAATCCATTTCTACCCCCATTAAACACAATTCAAAGTTCAAGTTAAATGATATTGAATTTCTATTAATTCCTTAGAACATGAAGCAAGATATACAATATGCATAGATTTACATGTAATCTACATCATCACAATTTGGATTAATTAAAGGAAAGCTTCATCTGAATCAATCTGTGAAAGGCCAGAATTAACTACTGTTTTCAAAGAAATGAAGTTCTGTTAATTCTAAATAAATAGGTGAACTAACCTAACAAAGTGGTCCTTGGTTGGGTGTTGTAATGAGGAAGAGGATGAATAATTAACAACAGAAGTTGTTGTTAAATAACAACAGATGTTATAGAAATGGTTCTCCTGAAGTACTCAGTATACTTTCCTAAATCGATCAAACTTTCACCCTTACAGTATTACTTTCATGGGCTTCCCTGGTGGTTCAGATGTAAAGAATCCACCTGCGAGTGCAGGAGACCCAGGTTCAATCCCTGGGTCGGGAAGATCCCCTGGAGAAGGGACTGTCAACCCACTCCAGCATTCTTGCCTGGAAATCCCTCCCGTGGACAGAGGAGCCTGGCGGGCTACAGTTCATCGGGCCGCAAAGAGTCGGACACGACTGAGCAGCTTAACACACACACGTCGTTCCTGTAGATGGACAGAGAATGAACTGGCAGGAGAAAGCACAGACCAAGGAAAACAAGTGAAGCAGTCATTACAGCTTCCAGGCGGGGGCTGGGCTGGGTGGGGAGAGGAGAGGGGGCAGAGACAACATGAGCTTTAGTGATTTTGTTGTTAGGGGGGGTGAGAAATCAGCAAGAAAAAGGCTCTGTTCATGGCTGTCATCTGTACGCCCAAACAGGCTGTTCCGTTAAGGTACCAAGACACCTCGATTGGATTTTGTAATATTTTAATTTACACAACAAACCCTCTTTCATACAGAGCGCAGAGAGGGAGAAGTCAATCCAGATGATCACGATTCCAAATCTATAGTGTTTTGATTAATTATTCTGTTGTGTCTATAAAAACGTAAATATTGTCTTTGCAGTTTCAAGATAGACTTCAGTGGTGTTCATTTTTCAAAGCTTGTGATCTTGCCTCAGACACCTCACGAAGCTAGTTCAGAGAGCCAGTCCTGTGTTTCGACACATCCTGGAGCACAGACAGTGTGAAGTGCTATAAACCGTTCCAAAATGAAGCCAAAACAAAGCCCCGCCACCCCCTCCCCTATCCTCGTCGGCAAACGAGGGCCTGCGGCATATGCTGCTGTAGCTTCGGGCAAGCCGCTTCTGCTGCTCAGGCCAGCAAGCCGGCCCTGCATCTCCACACACCACTTGCCTTGGCGACGGCGGGCGGGTCTAAAAATACAGTGATGCCGGCACCGGAGCGGAAAGACAGGCTGCCCGGCGCGACCGTCTGAGCTCCACCGCGGAGGGCGTGCCAAGTCACGTGCTCTGCCCAGGCCGTGGGTTTTCAGGACAACGAGAACACTAAGAGGCCCGACAGAGTTTATTTACTTCCCTCTTGTAAACCTGGCCGCGAAGGAATGGCTGAGAGGCAGAAGGTGCCTCCGGGAGCGGGGCCCCTGCGCCCCCGCCGCCGGCGGCGGTGACCTTGGGAAAGGCCTCGACGCCACCGGAGGAGCATGGCTTCTCCCACCGGGGAGAGCTGGGGCACACTCAGGGCGTTAGTCATTGTCTGGGCTGCCTTTCTGGCATCCTCAAGGTCGTGGTAGGGAGAAAGCCAAGGGTCTCAGAAGCGAGGTGAAGGACCTCAGAACAGGCCACCCCCACACATGCCAGTTTGGTACCAGGGTCACTGTGAGCTGGGGTCAAATGGGAATCAATGCACACTTGCAGGAGTCTTCCTTGTCTGACGGGAGGAAGGAGAAACTTCGGAGAAATGAGGACCTCCAGAGGAGGAGTTTTATGGCCACGAGAAAGACAGCAAGTCAGCATAGCGATGGGTCTTCAGATAAACCTACCAAAACAACCCATCTCTTCCGTTAGTTTCTCTCATATATTTCTCCTGGTCACTTTCCCCCAATTTACAACCCAGGATCAAATTTCTTTTTCCTTTGTCTTGTCGCATCTCCATGTTCATCACTCTGCTAAAG